AGATGTATTAGAAAAAATATAAAAATAAAAATATAGATGAAACAACGCCTGGAAGGTAAAACAGAACCACAATAGTAAAAAAGAGGAGGAGAAAAAAAAAAAAAGGTGGAAAAGGCGTTGGCTGTGGAGGGTGGGGCCTAAGCAGGGTGAGATTTGGGCAGTGGGCGGGGCCTATGCTTAGGACACACAGGGCTGCAAAAGGCCCTGGGGGATGTGGGGGGTGGGGCTTAGGCTCAACAGAACAGAAGGGGCCCAGGCATACCTCCTGCCTCTGGTCCCAGGGGGTGGGGGGGACCCCACCTGGGAGCTCAGCAGGCTCCCCGGGCCCCCAGTGGGCGGGGCAAATCGCGTCCACTCCTCTCCCACTCCTCTCATCCTGGACAGCCCCTCCTGCCTGCCTCTGCTGATCTCCCCAGCCTCCCTCTTATTCCCCCAGGACCCACGCAGCTCCGAGGGTACTTTGGAGGGCAAGGGACCAGCCTGGGAGCCCAGGAGGCTCCCTGTGCTCCAGTAGGCGGAGCAAATGCCCTCTGCTCCTCTCCAGATCTTCGGTCCCTCTCACCTACCTTTCCTGTTCTCTCCTGGCCTCCCTCCTACACCTCCAGGACCAATCTGGCCCAGAGGGGACCTCTGAGGGTGTAGGACCCAGCCCGAGAGCCGGGCAGACTTCCCCCCAATTGGGCAGGGGAAATGCTGGGTGCTCTCCCTCCATCCAAGCCCCTGAGCGTCTCTCCTGGCGTGGGAACCCCTCCCTCATCTTAGCCACCCCTCTGGGGCGCCAGTCCTGTATGGCCTCCACTTCTCCTCCCCCATCAGTCCCCCCACGTCTTACCGGTTTGCTTGGGGGTTCTTCCCATCTCCTTGGGTGTCGGGGTCCCCCCCAGCATCGAGCAGGCACCCTAGTTGTTGGGAGATGCGAACTCCGTGTCTTCCCACCCTGCCATCTTGACTCCCTACACATATATTTTTAAACTGATGCTCAAGTCTGTTACTGGAAGACTTTTTTAAGTGTGATTGGAACTACTTGGGTATGTGAATCTACTTCATCAAGTATCAATCTTATGAAATTTGAATACTGATAAAATGTTTCTAGTATTTCACTTGTTTCTTTGTACTTTTTTAAATGTTGCTAGTGGAAAATTTAAAAATATATATGTGGGTTACATTACATACATATGTGTATTTCTACTGGAGGGTGCTGAGATCAAGAAAATTCAGGACCGTTTTGCAGCCTCTGAGAGCCCTTCTTGCTTTCTGTCTGGTAGCAATGTACAGTAAGTCAGAAGTGAGAGAGGAGTTAGAAAAACGAGTTCCTTATTCTCTAGCTGGCAAACCAGGGGCCCTAGGGACAGGGTCTTTGCAATGGTAGAATAATCCCAAGTGATTATTATTTTTTAATGAAGTCCCAGATTTTGGCCTGTGGTTTCTGGCAGGGTTGCTGTTTTTCCACTACACTCACCCTCTGCTCGGTCCTCTGGGAACCTTCCCTTTACCTTCTGACATGGGGGTTTTGGCCTGTGATGCAAAGACTTGTGCCAGCTCTGCTCAGAGGCAATGAGGAAAAGGCATTTCAAAGTGCAAGGAAGATGGCCTATCTCTCCATTCTGGTGAATTACAGATAATGCAGGTGGTTAAATTTCAAAGCAAACTATGGGGTCTCCTCTGAGACAGAACATAGAGACCCAACCACACTGGTGGCTAAGTTATATCCCAGCCACAGAGAGACCTCACTGATCATATATTCAAAAGTCTATTATGGGTTTTAGATTACGATTAGACTTCTTAAAATTAATTTCTATCCCACTTTTTAAAAAAAATATTTATTTATTTCGCTGCAGCGGGTCTTATCTGTGGCTCAAGGGATCTTTCGTTGTGGCACGTGAGCCTCTCTCTAGTTGTGGGTGTGGGCTCCAGAGTGCATGGGCTCAGTAGTTGCGGTGTGTGGGCTCTCTAGTTGTGGCGTGTGCGGGCTCTAGAGCCGTGGGCTTAGTTGCCCCGTGGCATGTGGGATCTTAGTTCCTTGATCAGGGATCGAACCCACATCCCCTGCACTGGAAGGCGTATTCTTAACCACTGGACCACCAGGAATGTCCCCTCTATCCCACTTTTAAAGAATTGACCTTTTTCCCCCAAGTGATCAATTTGATGATGTAAGAGAAGCATGAACTTTGGGGTCAGACCTAGGTGAGTATAGCAGCTGACATTTCGTGTCTCTGGGACCCTGTGCAGATAACATAACCTCTCTGAGCTTCAGTTTCCAGTTTTCTTATCTGTGAAATACCTCTCTCACACATAGCAAATGCTTAATAAGCTGTAACTGTTTTTCACTATGAAGAGGGTGAGAGTCAGAGGTGGGGAGAAGTTTTAAGCAGATAAGCATCTTCTAACGGCATCTCTGAGACATTTTTCTCAGAACACTGGTTTCCTGAAATAGAATTCCAACAATAAAAAGAGTTTTGTGGGCACTACATTTTGGAAATGCTGTGTCCCCTGGTGGAAGTCGACAAAGTACATTAGTATATTTAACATTCTAAGAAGTTCTGCAGTAAAGAAATTAGTTTAACTTGACTTAACCCATAATTTCCCAAACTTATTTTATGAGGATTTTTTTTTCCAAGAGTAACTTTTAGCTCTGTCGGTCACACTTTGGGAAATGATGGCGTGGAAGAAAATGTCTTACCCTCTAATCAGAGCCCTTGATCTCACACTTTGGATGGGCTGGTCTCCTCATCAGATTGTCCTGTGATATGGGGGAAGACAAGTCACCAGACTATGTTCCATATCACCTAGGTCTGTAATGAAAACCTCATTCCTGTGGGAGCTTAGACAACCTTGTAAAATTAAAAAAAAAAAATAGTGAGATATGAGTCTCTTGAAGTATTGCCTTGGAAATTTCTATTTTGGTTGTGATAGAGTAGGGGTACTCTAAACTTAGATTTTGTTTTTTGTAAAGTTGCATGAACCCTCACAACTCTCTAGGAATGATCAATAACTATAACAATGTTCTACCATAACAATATTTCAAAAGGAAATGCCAGACTGGGGTTTAAATACACACACACGCACACACACACTATGTAGTAATGTATGAGCATTTTAAAAGGATATGTTTAATTTATAAGCCCTACTCTGATTAGAAAAGATAGATGTGGAAAGATCGCTAACGGATAATGTTTATACTCAATTTGCAATAATTGCACATTTCTTTCATCAAGACACATATTTAATATAATCTCCCAAATCCCAAAGTACACATAAAAATAGAGTCCAGTAAATGACATCAGACAGGATAGGATAAAGATTCTACTCCAAGAAGATTCAGAATACACTAGGTATAAATCAAAATGCATACAAGCAAACATCTGTGAATATTTTTCTAAGCACATTATTTGCCCCCAATTTTTATCATAAACATTTCAAACATTAAAAAATTAGAATAGTATAATAAACAACCGTAAAGAATTGTTAATATTTTTTCCATTTTTTTACTTTATATATATGCATATGTATTTAAGTATGCATATATACTGAGGGGATAAGCTTTTTTATAATAAATTGCAGACATCATGACATTTCACTTTAAATATTTTAGCATGTGTCTCCTACAAAAAGGACATTCTCACACATAATCACATAGTGTTATCCTGCATAAGAAAATGAAGAATAATTCTCTAGGTCCCTCTGATACCAACTCTAGAGTCAAGTTTCTCCAGGAACCAACCAAGGTTCATATATTACATTTGGTTATATCTCTTTAAATCTAAAATGTCCCACTCATCACAACATTTTTCCCCAACGTATTGACTTTTTGGTGAGACTAGTTGTCTTGTAGGATGTCCCACATACTGGCTTTGTCCATCTGTTTCCTCTTAGGGTCATTTCACTCATACTTCCATCACCTGTGTTTCTTGTAAATGAAAAGTTAGGTCTAAAGTCTTGATTACATAAATATTAAATATTTTTGGCCAAAATACCTCATCAGTAGGGTGATTATTTATTCCCGTTTGTCTCCTCTCCCAGTGTAACTATAAATAGTGACTTTCAGTGTCAAGAACATCTTGGTTTGGACACCCCATCTGTAAATGAAGCATCTCATTAGGAGACACAGAATGTCAGTTTGTCCCACCGTTAGGGACACCAAGTCTAATCACCTGGTTAGGTGTCCATCAGAGCTTTTAAAAATTAATGAGCCCCATATGAGATTATAAATTGATTGATTTTGTTATGTAAGTCACCTCTACTTTCAATAACCCATCAAAATTTTCTGCATCTGGGTACAATCATGAGTAAATGATTCTACCCTAAGTTTTACTTAAGTTAAAATCACTTCTTTTTGTGTTAAAATGGTATGAAAAAAATATATTTTTACAATAAAATGATATAATTTCCTATTAGTTGAATTTATCCAGAAGAAAAATGGCAGTGGTTGAAGATTTAATGTTCTCCAGCCAATTGCATAAATTCATCTGTATTTTAAAATGTTAGGCAGTTTACTTTTAAAAAACCTGTTTTTCCCTAATATTAAAATCAATATTAGCTAATTATGGGAAATTTAGAAAAAAACAGAAAAGTATAAAAAAGAAAATAAAAATCACCCCTAACTACCTTCTCAGACAGAACTATTTTTAACATGTTAATGGATTTACTTTTGTCTTTTTCTCGTATAAAATTTTACATAGTAAAGTCTATATCACAGAACAAAAAATTTTGTTACACCTTTTCTCACTTAATTTGTTTCATAAGTATTTTTCCATATTATTTCAAGCTCTGTAAATCTTTTAAAAATGACTACATAATCTTTCATTTTGTGGAATTCCTATGTTGAACATTTAAGTTGTTTTCAAATTTTTTTCCTACTGTGAATAATTTATCCATACAAATATTTTTCTCCACTTGAAATCATCTCCTTAGGAGCACTCCTAACCACTTCCTGTTTGGCACTGATAGATTTGAATTGAGTTTTGCTCAAATAAACTCTTAAAAATTTTAATATGCCTCAGTTTATCTTTTCACAGGTCTGGTGACATAAGAGGGAACCCAAGGAGACCCCCGAAGGCCCTCAGGAACAACGAGCGACAGCAGTGAAGGCACCTGCAGAGCCCCTTGCGTTGCTGCTTCCTCGCTGCCTTTGGAGGTGGTGGGTAAGGTCCCTCCATCCTCCATCCACAGCTTCTCCATTATGCGCTTTCAGACTTTATTTGAACATTTCTTTCTGGAAACTGCTGAAGTTGGCCTGGGTCTACTTGAGAAACCAGACTGGGTCCAGGGTTGGACTGGTTCTGACTTAAACTGGACTGGGTCCAGTGTGAAGCCTCAGTTTCTGGTGACCAGGAGGAGTCCCGCTGGGACACCCCACCCTCTCCGGGGCCTGCAGATGGCATCCTGGGAAAACTGGCAGAAGCCCACAAGGGGTAAGAATCCTTACCAAAGTCAGCTCGCCCAGATCTCTGTGGTGTCTGCTCAAGAGAGGAAGGTAAAATTTCACGTTGTCCCTTCCTTTCCAAATCCAGATTGGCAGGAAAAAACAGTTATCAATCCTTAGTTTCCCAGGGACATCTATTGCCTTCTTGTTTGTCTCAATTTGTGTCCTGAGAACTTGGCTTGACATCTGTTAGGTGGGGCCCCCAAAATATGACTGTACAGGACTGTGGGTTGCACTCCATTTGCAGCTAGGGTCCTACCGACTGTTGTCAGCTCTCAAGGGAATTTTCTAAGTCTTTCTTTTTCTTGCTTATCTTTGGGAGGAGTCCTGAGTCTTGGGAGGATCGTATCTTTTGCACCCTCTTTGGGGAATGCCTCTTCATCCAAGGGGTTCAGTACTGCCAGGAAAATTTACTATTTGCCCTGATTGAAAGCTAACAAGACATTCAAAAGGTTTTTTTTTCTGTTGTGTGTGTGTGTGTGTGTGTTTTCTTTCTTTTTTTTTTTTTTTAATAGCTCTATGGTCAGAAGTTGGCCAAATTAGAAGCTGATATTCAGAGCCTGGTAGGAACTTTTTTTTAGGCCTTCTCTCCTAGACTAAAATGAAACTGTGTATTCAGAGGGAAAGAAAACATTTTGAAGCCCTTGTGGAAGGGTTTACTCACGCATTTCAATGACACACGGCTCTCAAGCTATAGTACAGGAATCTTTTGACTTGCGTCTTAGTTGAAGATCTTCTCCCTGATATAACCAAGCAAACTGAGTATGATGTAATTGGGTAATCAACCTCTTGATTGCACAACCCAATTCTTTACGGAACGAAAAACAACTGTGCTTGTCTTACAAATTGAGTCTTGACAAGAACAGAAATTCGGCTCTAGAAACAATTAGAAGCCACCTATTCTTTTTTTATCCAGTCCCAGAATATCCCCTATTCATCTCAAAAGCCTTGCCGATATTGTGGAAGATCTGGAATTAGGGGGAAAAAGAGTCCTTTTTGGAGATAGCCCGTCCTTTCTCTGTGCCTTTGAGATATAAATGTTCTACCTGGTCTTCTCTAGGAAACTACAGCCATCTCTTGAGATGCCAACTTAAAGGAGGTAATTCTGATCTAGAAAAAAAAATTTTTTTTTGGAAATTAGCTGCATTAAAAATCTTGAAGTCTTGGGTGCTTCTCTGGTGGCGCAGTGGTTGGGAGTCCGCCTGCCGATGCAGGGGACACAGATTCGTGCCCCGGTCCGGGAGGATCCCACATGCCGCGGAGCGGCTGGGCCCGTGAGACATGGCCGCTGGGCCTGCGCGTCTGGGGCCTGTGCTCCGCGGCGGGAGAGGCCACTGCAGTGAGAGGCCCGCGTACGGCAAAAAAATAAAAAATAAAAAACTTGAAGTCTTTACCACAAATATTAGTAAGAGCCCTAGCCATCAGAGAGGTAACCTTAACTTATTGTATTCACCAGAAGCACAATTTGTATCCAAATGTTCTTTTATAAACTAGTGAGTTTTATATTATTGTAACTGTCTCATGGCTAAAATTTTAAAATGAAAGCTATAAGAGTTCTGCATTTGTCTGTATGTCTATGTATGTATATTATAGATACGTGGTATTTTTCTACCTCCTAATGGTATTGCCAAAATTAATTGGTAAAGAGCTCTATTTAATTGGCTTAAAGACAAAAAAACATTTATATAAATCAAGTATACTCAGAAATATAGAAACTAACCCAAATGTCTTTCAATTTCATGTGATCTAGGATAATCTTTGACAAATAAAAGGTAGTTTAAGCCTGTTGGTTTAATTAAAACAGGCATGTCTTTAGAGTTACAGTATTAAATAGAATGCTTTCATTCTACCTAGGTTTACTAAAAGTCAAATAAGCTCATGTCTTCTCTGTTACAGAATTTGTCAGCAAGAAACATAACTTAAGATGACGGTTAGCTGTTTAATGTCCCATGAAATTTTCATGAGTAATCTAAACATAATTGTTAAGAACAAGTAAGTTAAATAGATGTAAGTAAGGTTAAAGCTTATAAATAAACTTTTCAACAATAATAATGCTTTAAGGAATGTCTACTTAAAAATAATTTCCAAAATATTTTTGATAAATTGAAACCTTAAAGTTATGTTGAGATCAGTTAAATGATGGATATTCATTGAATAGCCTGATCATTTCCAAATAAAATAAAGTACTGAAACATAAATTACTGACATAGGTTTATCCACTTTTGCCTTCCTTTTAGAGAGGAACTAAAGATATTTGGATCTATTAGTAGACACATTTTGTAACACATTGAAAATTTTACTATGAGGAAGAATATACGTCTAGAAATTGTGAAATATATTTATGAATTGGCCAATCCACAGAATGCTACTGTAACAGTCCACAATTGCTTACTTCTTAGTTTTTATTAGGAATAAAGGATTCTAAGGGTTAAGAATTCTAATCAATAAATGTAATTAAAACTACTTAGAAAAGTTAAAGGAAACAACTGTGTGAAAAGTAGGTAAGGAAAGTAAAATGACAGGTTGTTCCAGATGAGGAAGAGAAAAATGTAGGACAAAACCTGAATGGATATTTAAAAAAAAAAAAAAAAAAGCTGTAAAAGTTTTGTGGAAAAGGATGTTGGAAAAGGAATTTTATGTGTGGTCAAGCTGACTAAAATGAGAATGGATTTATTTAAAATTTTAAAATATGAGTTTTAGTATCAGAAGTACACTGATACGGAATTAGAATTTGGCTTTGTCTCTGTTAAAAGGACAGAGTTTTCTTGGAATGTGGGTTTCCTCTTGATTGTGAAAGTTTGTTGTTGTTTAACTTTTTGGGTAATCTACCTGGAAAGCAAAGATTTGGTGTCTTCCAAAATAATTTATTGTGCTTTACTTTGCCTTTATCAGGTCTTTGATTACTTAAGAAAACCCAGTCTTCTCAATATTAAAAGATCTAAGTTTTGTTTACAGCTTTGTAACCTTCTGTGTTTGCTTTTAAAATCTTCTATTGTCAATTTAGTTAAATTGATAATTAAGTATTATTTCATAAAGATATGAGATCCTATTTAGTCAAATGTTCAAACTTTTTGACATTTTGACAACTTCCCAAAATCAAAGTATAAGTGCAGTCTTTTTGACCTCAAAGTAACTTTGAAATTTCCCAGAGGAAGCCTGGAAAATCTCAAAGGATTTGTTTCTCACCTTGTAAAAGAGAGATGTTAACCTAATTATGTCTATTTGGTATGTTAAAATATGTGGGGTGCATTGTCAAATAGTAAGACTGACAAACCTTCTTAGGTTATATGTTGTTGGATATATGTTACTAATATAGGTATTCTAGAAATTGTTTAAAGTTTCTAGAAATTTGTCAGCACCCTAATAGTCCAATTATTATCCTAAATTTTTGTATACTATAGAAATAACTACATTTCCTTATCAAGTGCACTCTCGTCAGATGTTAGTCCATGGCCATTTTAAAGTTTTGTGTTTTTTTTATCATTTACAAACAGTTATTGTCTTACTGTGATGCTTTTGCAAAGGTGTTTCATCTTTAGAGAGATTCACGGGAAGGACTCTGACAAGTACTCTAGAATGTAAGTTTGTGATAGAGACCATAAAAGTGACTTGGGTGAGAATTTCCAGAACTAATGGGAAACTTGTATTCAGCAGAACAAGAATTAATAACATGGGATTGAATGAACTGATGAGGATGATTATAATTTTTTTTTACAACTTTTTCTTTGAAACATTGCTGGATCTTTAATATTCTTTCCCCCCTACCTCCCAGATTTAAGGAAAACGTTTTCTCCTTTCTCTTAATCTATCTATGACTTAGAGTAATTTTGTAAAGTATACCTTTATAAACAGAACTGGAACATTTACTTTTTCTCCCTACCCAACCCCTCCAGAATTTAGAAAGTTGTTGCGTATTCCTATTTTCATAGCAATATAGTTATTTGCATAAGTTCAATAAGAATATTTTCTTCTTATAATAAGATACAATTACCAAAGCTTTGACTAGAATGTCATATTTGAGAATATGCATAAAATCAGTTTTGACCTGATACGTTTAAGGAACTCAGGTGGATTCTATGGAGTCAATAAAGGCCCTTTGGAAAAGCTGGCCTCTTACCTTGCTTAAGGATTCCTGGAAGCCCTACCAGGTGAATGAGGAAGCCTGCTTCCTGGCAGGCCCAGAAACTTAGGGTACCCTCAGAAAGAGAGGAATTCACTCACATCTGTAGGTATTCCAGGTGAAGTTTAATGTTGAGTTCTTGGCCTGGTCTCTTAGCCTGGAGAGGCTTTTAAAAGTCCAATCTAAGATTCCTTATGAAAAGTTCCCACAAAGCAGATTTAAGAGAATCTATATGGTCAATCACTATTCTTGCTGCATTTATCTGAATAATCAGGCCAAATTTAATGAGACTACACTTGCAAACAAATTTGTCTTACTATGATTTTCTTTGATAGAAATGAGGGTGATTGTAGAGGAAATAATTATATTTCATAGAAAATTATAACACAGTCTTGTGGATATCGGATTCTAGTCCTGTTCATTGTCTTTGAGGTTTTGTTATATACCAGTAAACTGACTGGATCCTTAATTCTAGTTTCCTCAAATATCTGGCTACAACTGTCCAAACTAATGATTCCAGTTTTCTGCCACCCTTCTGATTTGGAATCACTAAGAACAAAGACTGCCCTTGAATCTCCTTGAAAGGGACCATACCAGGTCCTCCTCACTACCCAGATGGCAGCTGAATTTTAGGGACTTGAACCTTAGGTCTACATCCCCCAGTTATAAAGGGCTTCTCCAGACTCTTGGAACTACATACCAGCTGGAGATCTAAAATTAAAATTGACTAGGGAGGTTACTTCCCAGAAGCAGACGGCATCTTGAGGTGGACAGCTCTCCCAAGATCACAGATCAAGATCTTCATCTCCAGTGTGAAAACTTTATTCCTTTTTCGTTTTTACTACTTGCTTTTCCTCTCTGTTAATGCATAGGAAGACAATGCTCCTTAACTCTGGCAACTATCACAGAATCTACCGATAAGGCCATAGCT